ATGATTCTATATAATATTTAATACCTTTAGTATTAGTCATTCTAAAAAACCCTCATAATCCCAAATTATAAAAATTCTAATTCTCTTCTAAATCAGAACTCCTCCATGCAAAAACCAAGAAGATCTATTTGAATTAAACGCGGGAGATCTATGCAAGTGTCGCCCTCTCTAGATCCCGAGGTCCGTTCAAACTTTCCATCCCACTCCAATCTGCCTATAAATCGTTCTAACATCTCAAGAAGTCTCGTCAGTGAACAATTTTCGAAACCGTCTCACCTCCTCAGGTCCACAAGCCAACACAAAACGACCGTCCCCCCCCCCCCGCTCTAATCCCCCCTCTACACAACGCAGAACGAACGCGAAGCGCGCGTGTTTTGTTGAATGTATCTACGGGTAAATCGTCGGTGGGTCACGTGACCGGGTTCTCGTTCTCCAGTCTGGCATGCGGACGGTGCGCGTCCGCACATATTATACCCACGTTTACGCGTGTGGCCGTTCGCCACTGACGGTGCTTTAAGTTTAGTCCGCGCCTCGGGATTCGACACGGCTCCTCTCGGAGATACCACGCAGCGCGCATTGTCCGAGAGAAATCGTCGTTACCTAAATCAGAAAACGGACTGAAGTACGTCGAACGGTTGCAGTGTTTCCGCCCGCCAGTGTCCACGGGGCCCATTATAGATCGTGTCTGTTGGGTGAAACTGTGATCGTGAATCTTCAAACAAAAAAAAAAAAAAAGAGAGAGAGAGAGAGAGATAAAAAAACAGGAGAGACACAGAATAGCTTAGCTAGAATAGGTGTGTGCGTATAATAATTGAGGAGAGGGAGAGAGAGAGAGAGAGAGAGGAAAAAACGGAAGAGAGTTCTATTAAACTATGTGGGACGTAGCGTCGAGTGACATCGTAGCCTGGAGACAAAATGGGGCCCGTTGATCGGGCCCGGAACATCTCTGGGCTCCGATATTATCAACGGAGGTATGGATGTCATCGGGGACGGGGACGAGCAAACCCTCCAGGCGATACTCGGTGAGTAGACTATCTTTTATGGTTTTTTTTTTTTTTTCTTTTTCTTTTGGCTGTTTCGACGAACCGTTCACTGGACGATTGTCAAGCGTGACAGCCCACGGGAATGTCGACGTATCCGTGCGTTGACCTTAAACCGTTCGCAGGGATTCGAAACTGGACGCCTTGGCAAGTGCCACTCGGTCATTCGCATTCTCTTATCGATATCAAGTCAATCGTGCAACGCAGGTTTTATTAGGGATCCATGGTAGAT